TTTCTAATGGTGGGGGTACCTTTTCTAATTTTCTAAGACTAGTCAATAGGAAAGTCCTATGGCTAGACCTAGGCTATTAAAGAAGTTTTCTAGACCTCAACCAAAAGTGAGGTCAACAGTACTTCTTTAGATACCACATTTGCGCTATTATTCTTCCTATTCTTGGGATTCCTGCAGTTTCTCTTTATGTGGTCAGCCTTGCCACAATTCCGGTAGGTTGTCTGTTGACCAGTCTTTGATTCTGATCTCCCTTTATTTAAGTTCATGTCATGTCATCTCCCTCTGAAATCAACATTTAATGTTGAACTCGAACCTGAGATCTCGCTAGAATGTTTTCTGCGCACCTCCTCAGTCAAAATCAAATCACGAATATCATCATATTTTAGTTTAGATTTACCTACAGGACTGCTAACTGCTAACTGTCATTCTCATGGCTTCCCAACTATTTGGCAACGATGCTAACAATATTCAGCGCACGTATCTCATCATTAAACTCAATTTCAACAGTCAACAGTTGATGTCTGATAGTATTGAAGTCATTCAGGTGTTGAGCACATAAACACATTCCACCATATTCAAGTTGAAAAACTTCTTCATCAAGTACAACTTGTTATTCGGCGATGACTTTTCATACATACTTGATAAGGTTGTCATGAGATCCGCAATCGTCCCTCCCTGACAACGTTGTGTGCAACAGACCTCGATGGGGTTAATCGAATAACCCCCAGAACTTGTCGAATCAACAAATTTCATTCAACCTCATCCATCCTTTCAGGTCATTTTCCCAATAACGGTATCTAAAGTTTCTTCTCATAGAAGTAAACCTCTATCTGCATTATTCAACAACCAAAATCTGTATCATCAAACTTTTCAATCCCTGAAACTTTCACTTCATTTGCAGTCATCGTCTTTCATCAGATCCGAAACCACGAACTATAATACTAGTTGTTGTGATATATACCAGTTGTTGTGGTATATATATAGAAATAAAATAGGAGAAAAAAATAGAACGAGAAAATTCACACCAGAAAACAGTAACACAGCGGAACACATAGATTTACGTGGTTCAGTCGGTTGTCTGTGTCCACGGAGTTGCTGAAGATTTTACTGCTTGAGGAATTTATACCAGTCAATCGTCTCGACTTATAAGAGGAATCTCTCACTTTGTTGTTCTCTTTTCTTCTCTCTCTACACCGAGATGTACCGAAGAAACTCTACACCAAGGTAAACCGAAGAAGATAAACTTAGAAGAGAAATAAATCCAAATTTTATTCTGCCGCAAGCCACCAAGAAGAAACCAAGGGAAAACAATATTCTTCTTCTTTTTTCTTCTTCCTTTTGTCAAGCACGCACACACTGCTTGCACTTCTCTTCCTTTATCCTAAGGAAGTAATACTGCCAAAGAAGAACTCAAATGGGCTGCCTTAAAAAACTCAAGGAGAGCCGCTTCTTTTATCACAAAACCGCAAGGAGCGAAGGGATGCTTCGCTCCGCGTCAGAGGAAGGCGGGAACGGTTGGCACCATTTGCGAACGGACGAAGGTAGGAGCAGTTCGCAATTTTTTGTGACGCAGAGGGAGAAGCGATGAGTGGGATCGGAATGTAGGAGACAGGATCGGGATCGGAATCGGGCTCCAGCAAAATAACTACAACTAAGAAAAAATCATCAAGTAAAGTTCCCTTATATCACAACTAGTGAAGTAAATTTGAAGCTCAAGATAACAAAAGAACAACTTTAAAAGCTTGGTAAGCCAGGTACAACCCTTAACCGTCTGTCCCACTAATGAAGGAAAATCAATAAGAATCACAATCAAAATCTCCTTAAATAATAATACACGTTCATTTGAATACCACAACAAAGTAAGAAGAGAGCCAAGCCACACAATTCCAAAAAATAATAAATAAGAAAGAATTAAGGCAAAAACATATCACACAACATCAAAGAGATGAGATAAATATACCATTAAGATCTCAAACCTTTCATGTGGACAATATTAAAATTCGTTCAAGGCGCTATCAAATATCAAAATATTCAAAAGCAATGTTGAATTCTAGTAAGAGGATGAAAATCATCACAGCTCAACCTATCTCAAACATCAGTTAAAAAACATTCTCCTCCTTATCCTCTTCCTCGACCACATCAGTCACTGTTCACTTGCCCCAATGATTTTCTATAATCCCTGTCAGGCGTATTATACTCCACTCAATTCTTGGCTGACCTTCACGTATATGACAAACCTCCCCATTCATATCAACGACACGTCTGACAAGCATTACAGTATTCGGTGTGACGAGCTCGTCCAATCCACAAAAACACAAGAGGTCTCGACCGTCTTCTTCCCCGCTGCCTACGTCCATAGCTCAAACTTAGAATGCGCAGTGGTAAATTGACTGTCATTACTGCAACAATCAGTGCTCAGGATCTGGGAGGCCAACCGTCTCTTCTGAGCTGTTTGTACTCCTCCTACATAATAAAAGTCAATTATTAATTATCATTTTAAACACCAAGAGTCAAAATAAATATGAAAAAATAAAAATTTTACTCATATTTACCTATCGAGCGGGTAGTCAAATTTGTGAGGGAGAAAGCTCAGTTGTGGCAGCAACAACAACAGGTTTGCAAAAAAACATGCGCTTCTTCCCGCTCTTCTTAGTATTCACTATAATGTGAAAACCCTGCGGTCTTTGAGGTGACTAATCACCAACACCACATGTGGTCATCTGTAGCAGGACTTACAACAAAGATAATCGGGAGTGGTATATACAAGTAAAACAAAGAATGTACAAAATCTAAATATAAAATATATCATAACTATGTATAAAACAAAAACAAAAAATAATAAAAGTATGACATACATAACAAAAGCAAAGAAAATGTTCAATATTGACATTTGTTAATCTAAAACAGTTACTCTCTTAGTTGGGTCATCAGTTAGTTAGCGTTTGATGTGACCAAACCATCTAAGACGACACTCTTTGATATTGTATGTCATTGGAGCTACTGCAACCATTTCATGGATATATTCGTTTCAAATTTTGTTGGTTAAATCGATTGTAGGCAAATGCATTATTAGTAAAATTTATAAGGCTAAAATAAAAAATATTTATTAGAGTTGACCATTTTGCTTGGAAAATGAAGTATGCCATGCCCCTTCTCTTTAGTATGAATGATACAATTGAAATCACAAAAAAATAATCTATTATTTAACAATAGAAATCGACATATTGGAAAGAGCTGGCCACAAATCTTTCCATTTGATATACAGTTCTCAACATAGTGGAAAGTAATAAGAAAATTGGTATAGGAGGACAAGAAGATGGATCTACGAATTTATTGGGACTAAATGTCTAACACAATAAAAGCAATAGTAGAAATTTTCTATTTAACTCGTATGTCAGTATGCTGGAAGGTATGGTAATTATAAATATAAAGTTCATTAGGAAGTTAGAGAAAATTTGATTAGAAAAGAGAGTATGGCGAGGAGGAGCTGACGAGTTTTGTTTTAAGCGAGAAAAAAAATCAACATTATTTTCTTTTACAACTATCAATAAATCTTAAATTACTGTTAAAATCTCTAGCATTTCAAACAAGTCTAAGATGGGGGACTACCATCAAACATTCTTTTCTTTGTTCAAGTGGCAGAAAGTAGATAGGACGAATGGGGAAGGGATATAAGAGGACAAAGATTGCGAGAGGAACAGTCATGGATATTGTGGGGCTAGATGATGTCAAAGGGAGGGAGGGGGCTCCTAGTGCCTTAAGGGGGGAGGATTTGGTAAAAGAGCATTCAACAATCGTTATATAACATCATACAATTCTTTGTAACAAGTATGATATTTAATATCAATATATCTAAAAAACATTGAAATATTTTAGGTTATATGCACATATCTCATAATAATGAGATATATATTCATTTCCAAAGATAAACTTAAGCAAAACCAAATAATTTAAAATTCAAAAAATTTAATTTAAAACCCATAAATGAATTTATGCTAAAATAACACAAACTAAAAAAAACAACAACTTAAAACTCAAATCTTAATTAAACTAAATTCTAAGTAAAAGTAAACCTAAAATCTACGTTACTTTAAACCTAATCACAAGCTAAACCTAAAATAAGCATAAATACATTCCAGATGTAAATCATTAATAAAACTAATTAAATCTAAAATTGAATGCCTCAAGCAAAAAAACACTCAACTAACTAATCCCAATTCATGTTTATTGTAAATCCAACTCTAATCTCATTCAAATATGGTTTTACACAAAGCCAACACTCAATGTTTATATATATGAATAACAATATTGTAATACATATCACTCAATACTTACGTGTGTGTATATATATACACACATAGCTAACACTTAGGGCCCGTTTTGGGCAGCTTATAAGTGTGGTCGATGTTTTCAAAACTCCGCCTCATCGTTTGTAAAACATGTTTCGACAGTTTATCCGAAAACACGATTGAGTTTTTACACTAAACTCAAGCCGCAGGTCGAACTTCACAGGCCACCCGTGGGCCGCGTTTCAGGATAAGCTGCTTATGTAGATTAGCTCAAATTGCCCCAAACACACTCTTAATCTTATGCACATACATTTCTAACATCTAACTTCAAATGTTACACACATATGACTGAAATCTCATGCATATACATTCATAACACCTAAACTTTAAATATTACATACATATTAAAAATTTAAAAAGTAAATAACAGGGATAAATTACCTTTTTCGATCCTCTCATAATGGGCGACAAGCTAGGGTTGTGAATTTACACACCTAACTACATACATTGCATTCAATTATTATGAATTTACTTATTTGATACCTAAAATTTAATTTTTACATCCAAAACACCATATATATATATATATATATAGAGAAAGTATAATCCGCCTTTCATATATCTTTTGAAAATAGAAAAAAAATGCTTAACTTGTAAAAATTAAAATTAAGGTGTGAGTTAAGTAAATTCAAATGAATTGAGTGACATGTATGTAAATTTCCGAGACAGAGAACAGTTCAGAAGTCCGGGGGAGTCTCAAAGGGTTTAGAGAATCGCAGACCAGACAATGGGGAGAACTCTTTGCTCTACCGTCGTCATTCCCCTTAAACTGAGGAGATTCTCTTCGGTTCCTCAATCTTGTCCAGGCAAACCGAACCATAGGTTTGCTTCCTCTTTCAGGACAAGTGTGCCCCTTTCTGCGACACCTGCACGCTATTTCCAGAAGAGGGCCGCGATTTCTGAAGCTCCAAACACAAGGAAGTATCCAAGAGTGGGCGCCGAGTCGACGGGCCCAGTTCCTGCGTCGGAGCTCCTTGGGATCGTCGAGCTCGCCGCTAAAATCGGAGCAGAGGTCCTTTCCTGATTCGTTAGTGCCTCATTTGAGACTATGGAAAGAATGACGCGTTTTTTAGTTGCAAGCTTGCGAGGGTTTTATAACTTTTATCTTTACTGAATATAGAGTAAATATTGTTTGTAGCTGTCAGTATTTTGAGCTTCTTCATTCATATTTTCAGCTTGTGTTAGCATCAAAAAACTGCAAGCGCCGTTACAGAGGCAGTTTTTTTTTTCAAAATCTATTTAAAATTGGCCCTGTTATTTAGAGTGTTACTTTTTATTTGGATGTTAGACTTTAGTATATCTGTTCCATGCTTTGCACAAAACAAAACTACAATCGCCGTTACAACAACAGATCAACTTGATTTTTGCAATTGCTTTCTTACTGAGGAATTTTACATTAAATCTTCCCACAGTTCCACCTATGAAATGCCCCTTTGTGGAATTAAAGAGTGCCTGGAAGGAAGGAGTGGAGCAGGGAAGCCTTTCTCGGAGCATAAGAGAAATTGAGGATTCACCTATCAAATCCATGATTTGTTGAAATTATTTAAAAAAAAACAAAATTCTCTCTCTCTCTCTCTCATTTTTTAATACTTAACAAGATGTTAGAAAGAGTTTTTATTTTATAAATGCTTTAGCATATATCCAGTCTTATTAATCAAGTTCAGAGTCACTTTGGTTTTGAAGCCCTACTCTTATTCAATAGATTGTTTTTTGTATTTCTTTGATATTATACTATTTGCAAGTTGTGTTTCTTTGGCTCTACTAAATTTGGAACAAGCGCATGTTTATCATAACTGTTTATCACGTGCAATTTGAAATACTAAAGTTTAGTTTAGTTAAATTTCCAATGCAAGAAGTCAAGTTTGATTGTTGGCATTTCATGTTAATTATAGCCTGAATTTTGTGTGTGGTTATTTCATGGGTATTGTGCAAGATATCGCTAATTTGAAATCTTATCGATGTGAGTTATTGTCTTTATAACAATTATTGTGAATCAAAGGACAAAGCATTTGATTCCCAAATGTAGGAACTGTTGTTGTATTTTCTGCAACGATTTGTTTATGTTTTGTGGCCTTAATGAAGACTTAAGTCATTTTACTAATGTGATAAGCTAACTTGTAGGTTGTCATGGATGCTGTTAACAAGCCACAAAATATTAGCTATAAAGGAGCCACAGATTTGGTGACAGAGTAAGGACAAGTAAATATTTTGCTTTGCTGTTGTTATACTTGTTCACTTGATTGATTTAAATCGCCTGTATTTCTGGTTCTCGCATTTCCATGTTTGTGGTTTTATTCACCCATAAACGTGAAACCTATGGCTGCTACCTTCGTATACCATGGATATGAGCTGGTATGTCGTATAAGAGTGCATAGAAAAGGATTATGAATGATTTTTGATTTGGCGTCAGGAGTTATACAGCATGATATTTTATTTGTAGCTGTTATATGAGACTGATTTATTTTTATTGGTCTAGAAAGGCATTTGGAAAATTAAGTTCAATGAGTTTTATTGGAAAGCTATTATTAGGCATTTGTATGCATACATATAAAATTTTGTCCGAAGCATTGCATGATATGTTAGCATAGATTTGTTATAAGATGCGTTCATGAAGATTTTTCCATTCTTTATTTGAAAGTTAGTAATGCTGGGCTTTAGCAAATAGTATATACAACATATCTTCTTTCAACTTGATTTAATCTTACCTTATTTTTAATCATATAACATCCAATTTATAAATCCATTCACCTTAAAATTTCCATAAACATCAGTATTATGTTTCTGATCATGCATTAAACTTACAAAAGTAAAACTATAATGAATGTTATAGAAAGTGGATAAATAATTCATTAATTTAATTATGTAAGAGTACTCAGATCGAATGAAATTATTTGAGCATGTATAAAAACGCATTTTGAATGTTTTCAATGAATTTGATTTAAAAGTTATCGAGAAGTAATCATTTTACGGAGAGGTATTACATGCTGGCTATATTTAATCTTATTTGATAAAAATCAAATCTCTTATATTCATGTAACCTACAATATATCAAGCGAAGAATACGTGTTATTTAGGGACATTCGACATAATTATAATTTGAGTTTTTCTTTTGCTTTAATTCTTGATTCTCTATTCGTTGTATTTGATTCATTAATGATTAAAGAAATTATGATGTATGATTATCGGTGGAATTGTTGAGTGGTGAAAAATATAAGAACACTTATATAAGTTTACGATTTGGAGGACCACCATCACACAAATCTCATCGCCAATGTTTTCATTTCCAAGCATATCTACCATGTAAACTCCCGAACCTCGCGTATCCTTCGAGACCTATTTATAGTTAGCTTTTAAAAAAATAAAATAATATTTATAGTTAGCCTACAATGCGGGGAAAAATATACAAGTTTTGTTTAGAGTTGTGGTGCGAAAGTTTTGATGTGTGGAGTTGAAAATATTGGGAGAGTTTGTTAAGGTTAGAGAGAACAAAGAATGAAAATATAAAAACTTAGAGAGAAATTTCATAACACTCACCAAATGTGGAGAAAATAATAACAAGAAAACAAATAAAATATTAGAATAAGTAAAGAGGAAGAACCTGATCTAGACCACCAAGTCCAAAGAAAAGGAAATGCTAGCAAGAATTTCCAGAAAAGACGAGCACTTTCCAAAGTATTTATTTAAATTCATCAAAAGATAGTTACATTATAGATTTTTGTGACATTTTAAGCATTAAAATAGAGAAGTTAAACATCACAAGAAACTCAAGGGGTGTCCGATCATATAATTAGAACTCATTGGAACTAATTTAAGGCTTCATTTCATATTTTTGGAAACTCAAAGTAGGGCTGTAAAAAATTGACCTAACATGCCAACTCGGCTCAAACCTGAATCGAAAAATCCGGGTTCGGGTTGACCCAAATAATTTTTGGATTGAGTTTGGGTTGTGATACTTGTTTAATTTTTTAGATCGGATTCGCGTTGACCAACCAACCTAAAAACGATTCGAAACTGACCCGCCAACCTAAAGTTTACTTAAATTCGACCTACTTATTCTAATTTTTCATGGCTGGTTCTAGTCGGGTTCGGGTTGGATTTATTATGATTGTGTTAGTTTTGGGTCGAACCCAAACCCGACCCGCAAACCCGAATTGTACACCCTAAGTCAAAGGCTCTTTGATTTGTTGGTTTCAGCTTTGGTAAGATGGAACATTACTAGCGAGAGCTAGTCAAGGTTTCTTTGACTTCAACTTTGATGCAGTGGCGAGATGAGTTGACATGGTAATGTGGCATAGTTTTACTTCAAACTTGGACTAAAAAGCTAGCTTACATGCCATTTTAACATTCTTTAATGATTTTTCCTTTCTACTAGCTTCCATACAAATGAAAATCCAAAACAAAAGAATAAAATTATAACAAAATATTATTACTGTGGGTTATGACATGATAATGGGCCTATGTTGCATTTGTCCTGCATCACTATGTTGTAGTCAACATGCGTAAGCTGATTCTACATGCCATATGTTGCGGGTCAGCATACTTTATGTTGAACTCTAGAATCCAATATAGTGACATGTTTTCCAACATATTGTATGTGCCATATGCTGGATTTTTCTATATGTTTTAAGTGTTTTCCAACAATAGTCAACCAACTTCTTATCTTTTATATGCCCCAATATGGACACTTTAATATATATCATAGAACCACCAATATCATTTAAGTGTACCAACTTAATTACTAGAGACAAAATACATACTTATCCTCACATAAAGGGGTTAAGAGTTACTGAATATTTGCCGCATGATAGAACCAATCTATGCATCTCACAATCACCAAAATCCTATGCATCACATGTGGCTGTTTGTAACAGTAGTGCATGTAATGATATTCTGCATGCCTGATTTTTTCTCTATAAATGAGTTGTTTGAACTTTAAATGGTTTCATGTATGCAAATTTACCTGAGAGCTAAGTAATGACTAGCAAGATTAGCTCGAGTTTTCTTTGGTGGCTGTACTTTTGGAGTTGTGCATCCACAATTCCGCATGTATATACTGCAAATATGGCCTAAGTAATAAATGCCCAATTTTCTTTTGCCTCCAAATTCAAATACAAACCCCAAGCTTCATTAGCCCATACTACTCCAAAAAGAATGCCTATACTTAAAAAGGTAAACCCTAAACCGATAATTCTTTAACCCCAAGAATCCAAATGCTAAATTAATTGATATTTGTAGAAATTTTGAAATGAGAGGAAATAATTTTTTTTTAAACACTCACTTTTTTGTTCAAGTCCTTGTGCTTTAATAATTTACCTTTAGCTCAGGTGCCTGTCAGTCTGTCATAATGTTAGTTTGAGAAATCCTGTATATCTATAGTTGTGTGGGAGGCGCCGTCCCATAAATTTCCCAACTCTGCATTTTAACCTGGATTCTTCATTTCATGTCGTCAAAAAATTTTTCCCATTCTTGATATTATAATGTTGTTTCCGAATGTATTCCACCAAATTATCTGCTATGACTTGCAAGTTCCCAGTGCTTATTTAAATTGATGATATGATTCTTTTGGTTTTTTTCTGTCGAGGTTCATTCGTTGCATAATACAGTTTATCTTACACCACATTGCAGTACAGATAAAATGACTGAGAATGTCATTTTAGATGTTGTGAGAAAGAAATTCAAAGACCACCTTATTCTTGGGGAGGAAGGAGGTCTTATTGGGGAGACAGCTTCTGATTATCTTTGGTGCATTGATCCCTTAGGTAAGTTTATGCTGATAATGTTTCTACAGGAAGGTTTTTGATTTATCTTTTTTTTTTTTTTTTAAGCATGCAGAATATTCTCAGTTTACTCTTTTTGTCTATTGTAGTGGTCCCTTACCAAAAGAAATAAAAAAAAAATCAAACTGTTAGCTATTTTAACGCAGGTGATTTTAGCAAATTTAATGTGAAATTCATGTTTATGTAATATATTTTATTGGTGGATAATGTTTATGAGCTCTGAGTAAGACAACAAAAAGAAGAGTGAGCATTAAAATTAGTAAATGCTTGTAATGGAAAGGCATCGCTCTAACAATGTCAGCTTGGTCAATAAACATTCACTCCGTTTAATTATTATGGACAAATTATCTAAAATTATAAATTATAAGCCAAAATTGTAAACAGGACTTTAATTAAAACTTCTTCTGGTGACCATACAAGTCATTTATTTTTCTTTCTTTATATCAGTCATTTTGCTTCAATCCTTATCTATATTTTTGGGTTTTTCATCTTTTCTTTGGTTTTCCTCAAGTAAATTGTTATTTTTTTTCTTCTTATAGTTGATCTTATGTCAGTTTATATTTTCTTTCTAATTTTTTTTTCTTCATTTTATCCACCTTCTCTAAGTTATGAAGTTGGCACTTTTTTCTTTTCTTACTTTTGTTTGAGGCTTTTTTTGCATTATATTGCTTCATTCGTCATCTTATTTGAAAGGTTTTCCCAAACTTTTATGAGTAAATGGGACTTTTTTTTTTGCTTTTATTTTTTTTAATTTTTTTGACAAAAGATTAGAGAGAATTGATTGAATACTTCATTCAAACATTTGTGTTTTTATACAATCCCATTAGAGGTTCTTATTTGGAAACATACAAAATCAATATATAATAATTATAGAATTAATAGTTTTAGGGCCTGTTTGGCGCAGCTGCAGATTCTCAGCTTTTCAGCTGCAGCTGCGCCGCTCCTGGAA